TAAATTATATAAAAACTGTCCGAATGTTCTTTTTATCCGAGCGCTTTAGGCTATTAGCCATTTTCAAAGATTAAATATTTTAACTGTTAAATAAAAAATAGTTTGTTGCATGTATGTATTTATATAATGTTTCCATTTTTCAAAACACGATGAAGATATTGTGTCCATGTTAAATAGGCCAAATATTATTTACGAATTTAAATGTCCATTAAGGAATTGTATTCCTGATCAATCAAAATTCATAAATAATTATATAGGCCAAACTACAGCATGTTTGACAAGCAGACTCACTCTACACCTTTCTGACCATAGTTCAATGTAAAAAAGGCTAAAAATAATCGAAGCCTTATTAATAAAAACAAAAAACAACAATACCTAATAATATCAACTATGAACATGGACACAATATCTTGATCGTGTTTTGAAAAATTAAAGCATTATATAAATGCATACATGCAACAAACTATTTCTTATTTAACAGTTAAAATATTTAATCCTTGAAAAGCCTAAAGCGCTCGGATAAAAAGAACAATCGGACATATATATATATATATATATATATATATATATATATATATATATATATATATATTAGGATATTACAACATCTTAAAATCGCTACATAATAGAAATTATGTTTCAACACTACAAATGTCTCTCATTGGGTGATGTTCTGTACTGAGCCCTCTTTTAAATTAAATGTTACGTACAGTGGAATTATACTCCATTTGTTCTCCAATTCACTGTATATATATATATATATATATATATATATATATATATATATATATATATATATATATATACCGGGTGTAATAACAAATTTGTCCAAATCGTGTACAATTGTTAGATTAAGCTTTGAACTGACGTATCTTACAAATAATCAAATATATCTTACTAGAATTCTCCGAGGTTTTTATAACTCTATTAGACTGTGTTTTAAATAATGAGAACATCTTTAACGTTAACTCTAAATGATGATCCCACTTGTTGTTGTAACCTCCTGATCCAGTTTTCCTCTCTACTGATCCCTCCTTTTTAAGCCTATTCACTGTTCTCTTTATGGTTCTTGAATGAACTTTGGAGATGGAAGCCAGAGTATGAATGTTGGTACCATTACTGAAGGTCTGAATGATATTTTTCGTCTCACCATTGCTCAGTTGGAGCTGACGCAAAATGATTTTAACATGAGTTCAACTGAATAACTCAAAGTTTTTTTCAGTGATTCTTACAACAAATTATATCAAGATGGCTAAACGTCTTATCTAAAACCTGGACAAAAGAAACTCAATTAATTTAAAGTTTTTTTTTAGATTTTAAACATTTTGTGGGATGGACAATTTTCACATGCTATTACACGATTTGGACACAAAGTGTTAAAAAACTATCCAAAAGTTCTGCATTTCCGAGCGCTTTTCGATATACTTTAAGCCATTATCAAGGATGATTTTATTTTACTTTTAACTGAATGTATTTTTGCTTTTATTTCCTACTGGTATGTTTCGGATTGAGTCTGGTAGATTTTGTGGGTGTTTAAATGAGTACTAATAGAGCTGTGGTCAGGTAGATGCAGTGTATGTTGTCTGGAGAGCCATGTAGTAGCGTGAGCGATGTAATTATGAAATCGGTTTGATCAGGAACACAATTTCTTAAGTAGCATTTGAACCCGTAAATAATGTTCATTTATTTTAGTTTTGATTTTGCTGGTGTGTTGTTAATTTTTATGAGAAGGATAACTGTTTAAAATTTTTTTTAATAGGTAATGAAATTCTTGTTCGGGTAGACGGAAGCAGTGTATTACTTCGAGCCATATTGGCAATATGGCTCGAAGTTTTGCTTACATATATATATATATATATATATATATATATATATATATATATATGACACCAATTCAGTCGGGTTTCGATCCTAGCTAGAGGCAACGAGACGTCTGCCACACTGATGAGCTGTGATACAGAGAAACAGTCTGTCTGTGGATGACAATATATATATGCTCCTGAAAAGTTTATTTCGGTTGAGCTTTCTGAGGAGGAAGTGTGGGTTTGTAAAGAGTGACTATTACGGCTAATAATGCAAGACTCTTCCGTAAATCGAATCGAGTTCCCTCAGTCACTGTGTGTTTATCTAAAAATAAATACGTTAAATTCACCTTTGTCCCTTCTGTGCGCCAATGGCTTAGTGGTAGAATCCTCGATTGACGCCAATTCAGTCGGGCTTTGATCCTAGCTAGAGGAAACCGGACGTCTAACCACACTGATGAGCTGTGATACAGCGAAACTGTCTCTATGTGGATGACTATATATATATATATATATATATATATACTATTTACGTTGTTCGGACTGTTGTACTCATCTTTTTTGCCATATTTACGACGTTTCGCCCGATATACGTTGGAATTTAGAACTTAACCTTTTATTTAGTCCACAGAGGATAAATTGTTCTAATTCCACGTGCCATGGGATATTTCAGGTTCAGTCCATTCCTTTTAATATCTCCTGTTTCTTCTGCCGTGGCCAGATATTGAACTTACAATTTTTGGGGTCAAGTCACTTTTTGTATTACTCAGCCTTCGCTTTTACCTACATGGCCTAATGTATAAAAGCGTTGTTTGCCGAATCTATGCTAACGATGATCACTAACCCAGCAAATGTAACCGCTTTAAAACTCGTGACCTACAGACTTACTGCTAAGTTTTAATAGAAAACACAAAAATCATTGCATCTTATAAATAACATTTTCAAGCTGTTGCACCTGTCAATTCCCGTCTTGTTTTGTGGCCTTTCTGCTGAACAGCGGAACATAGGATCTCTCCAACCCCACACCTAGTTACGTTGGAGCGATCACCTCCCAGAATTCGCATTTACTCGAAATACACAGACGTTCAAGTCAATCGTTTACCATCACTCAACCCTTAATCCTCTCATCTGTAATGCCAAGACAGAAGCATTTTGAACTTTTGTTTTCTATTATTGTTTCATGTTTCAATCTTCTGCGTGATATTTACTTTACATGTAAATGCAAAATTCATTCTGTCTATTTATCCCAGCTTGTATAGGTCGATCTATCTCAATCTGTTCATGTCTATCACAATGTTTTCCATGTCTATTACAATCTGTTAATAATGATCTATCTATCTAACCCAGCCTATTACTACTATCTATCTATCTATCTATCTATCTATCTCAATCTAAGTTCTAGGTAGTTCTATATATCGTGTTCAGTCGTTGTATCCCAGCTTGTATAGATATATCTATCTCATTCTGTTCATGTCTATCGCAATGTTTTTATTGTCTATTACAATCTGTTAATAATGACCTATCTATGTAAATATCTATCTGTATGTCTATTTATCTCTCTATCTATCTATCTCTATATATATATATCTGTGTGTGTGTGTGTGTGTGTGTGTGTGTGTGTGTGTGTGTGTGTGTGTGTGTGTGTGTGTGTGTGTGCAGTGTATTATATATATTATTTATATAGTATATGCGCGGGACTTATTGGAAAGCGCTCAATATCAGAGATAGATATTTAGTTGGATTGATCTGAGTTTGTGACCCTGGGTTTCACGCTTTTGCGATCGTCAGACAAACCGATTAATTTTTTAAAACCGTCAAAACAAACATATGTAGGACATTCCTAAACTTAACAGAAAAGCACTTCACTGAAACAAACCGATTAGCAAAAATATTCAACAAAAATAACGTTAAAAACAGTTACAGCTGCACAAAAAATATAACAGAAATAATAAAAAGCCCCAACAAAAAATGATAACCTACAATAATGGAACCAAGGACCTCAATGCAACTGCAGAAATAGAACAACATGTCCACTCCAGGGAAATTGCCAACAAACGAATGCAATATATAAGACCAAGGTAAGTGCAAACAACAACACAATGTACTATATCGGTGCCACTCAGGCTCTATTCAAGAAGAGAAAAAACAAGCACAACCTTTCATTCCTCAACAGAAAATACTCGAACAGCACTACACTATCCACATACATATGGCATGTAAAAGACAGAAATATTACAGCAAGAATAATCAGGAAAATATTGAAGAATGCACCTACCTACAACAACATTACAAAAAAAATGCCTACTTTGCCTACACGAAAAAGTAGCAATAGTATCTCATACCCCGCAAAAGAACTTACTAATCATAAGATCAGAAATAATTTCCAAATGTAGGCATGAAAACAAATACCTATTATCAGAATGTATACCAAACAGATAAAAAACAAAGAAACACCACCACATAAACCACCAGTGACCCTATAAACATGAAAAGAGAAACATCTGATACCATGATGCCAACAATTATTCTCTAGTTCAAGCTACCATCATAATAATTGCATTTATTGTTATTATCATTCCACCACCATTACTATTCACTTCTACCACTTTACAATAACTATTTGCTACTACAATGATTATTATCATCACCCCCCCACCACCATTACTACCACATCACAACTACTATTGCCATATTAGTCCGCAATCACCATTAACGTAAATCACTCCTCTCCTCCAGCCAGCAAAATTTAATACTACCGCATAAAAAGTAAGGATTACAATTTGGACTTTCTACCCTTTACATATGCGCAATCACCTAAGCAAGCAAATAACCGGCTTTAAAATAATAACAGCCTTAAAAATAAAAAATAATAGCAATTTTTACCTATCATAGTTTTACACAGACCCCATCATACGCATATGCGTGCGAGGAAATATAATTCAGCGGAAAAATAGAAAAACGGTCTGCGTGTTGACATTGCTACATTCAGGAAAATTATTTGCTACACAATCCTTCATTGAATTCAGCAATCAAATGCGTACGTATGTACACAACAGCACACATATACATATATGTGCCAAGTCCCATTCTGTTCACATAGGTTTATGTTTGTGCGAGCTCCGGTGGGCGAGCGCGTGTATGTGTGTCTGCGTACCTCATCGGGTGTACGGGCAGTGTATGTATGTTTGCGTTAGCATGAGTGACATCACGACGACGATTCCACTCCCCCCATTTCCATAATAACACCAATACACGCAATCTACATAAATCCAAAAGGTTAAAAATTAATCAGTTTCTCTTACGATCGCAAAAGCGTGAAACCCAGGGTCACAAACTCACATCAATCCAACGATATATATATATATATATATATATATATATATATATATATATATATATATATATATGAAAACTTCTCCGATTTAACCAGTAGAGAAGACAATATTTATGAATGAAAATAACAGAGGGTGTGCGGCTAATTTTAGTGTTGATCGGTTAACTGTGTTGTCCCGGTCACACTCTTTATTTCACCTCAAGGTGCTGGAGGCACTTTACATCGGGTCCCGTAAGCCTTCCCTCTGTAAACAACGTGAATGTTTGTTGGGGCTCGCTGTTATTTGTCTCTAGCTCCTTGTGTTCATATATTTTTGTCCCGCCTTTTCATTCTCATTGCACATTTTCTCGTGTTTTAATTTAAGTTAAATCTCACGTGGAGGCCTGAAGAGCAGGAGCGAAACCGGTTGCTTCGCTTTTAATATGTCTAGTAATATTCAGATTCATACTTTTATTTCTGTAATTAGATTTTGTACCTTCAAAAATATTTTCAAATATATATATATATATATATATATATGTGTGTGTGTGTGTGTGTGTGTGTGTGTGTGTGTGTGTGTCTGTGGGGGGGGGACTGTCGCAGAAAAATATGGCAGCACCAAACACAATGACTGTAAATATTTTTGTTTAATTACATATCTTGAGCTAAATCCATACATTATCCCTATCATATAAAAAATATATATATATATATATATATATCATGAAAACAATCATAAAATCCTGGTAAATATCAATTTATTGTGAGGATATTTATATAAATGAAGTAATCAATGGAGTAACAATCAGATAGATAGATAAATAGATAGATATTGACAGACTTAAGCAATCTTCAGATCGTCTGTATACATATGGCTCTCAATCTCTGTCTTTCCCCCTGTCCCTCTCTCTCTCTCTCTCTCTCTCTCTCTCTCTCTCTCTCTCTCTCTCTCTCTCTCTCTCTGTAGATATATATATATATATGCGCGTGTCTGTGTGCGCGCATGTTGCTGCCTATATATATATATATATATATATATATATATATATATATATATATATATATACCGAATGATACAGCATAACTGAACATTCAGCAAAATGTTTAATATCTAGAAAAGAAAAAACGCTAACCTAAATGAGTTTCTTTTTTCCGGGTTTTCAGATAAGACATTTAGCCATCTTGACACCAGTTGTAAGAATTACTGAAAAACATTTTGAGTTATTCAACTAGAAAAAGAACAGGTTAAAATAGTTTTGTGTCAGCGACACTATGTCTTCTCAACTGAACAATGGTGAGAGAAAAAAATCGTTCAGGCCTTCAGTAATTCATACTCTTCCTTCCATCTTCAATGTCCATTCAATATCCACTAAGAGAACGGTGAATAAGTTTTTAAAAAGTTGGAAGAGTAGAGAGGAAAACTGGATCAGGAGGTTACAACAGCAAAAGAGATCATTATTTCACCTTAGAGCTAAATACATTCTTATTTCTCAAAGTAGAGTCCAATAGGGTTAGAAAGACCTCGGAGAATTCCGGTAAGATATCTTTAATCATTTCTAAGATACAACGGTTCAAAGTTTAATCTAACGATTAGACAATTTTGCTGTTACACGATTTGGACAATTTTGCGGCTACGGTATATATAATATATATATATATATTCTGTGGGAATGAGCGGATGTTAGTAACTGTTTGTATTTTTTGACTGTGTCTGTTATTGTTTTCTATATCGACAATGTGTAAATATTCTCGGAAGGAGTATATTCTGTAGAAGAGATAAAATGAATGAAAAGACAAGAAAACTATACTTAGTTTTTAACCGCCGTGTTTTGTCATATGACGGACTTTATCAAGACAAATTTAATGATTTTATTTTGCAACAAGTATATGTAGGTAATGGCTAAATTTAAAATCGCTCATAAGTATTCAACAGAAAACAAAAGAAAACGGTTGAATCCATCATGTTAACTTTTAAAGTTGTATAATGTAATAAATATTTTCGGTTATACTAAATGAATGACGGAATCTAAGATCTAAATGCCTATACATTTCAGTTAACCTGATGAATATTTATGAGCGTCTTTAAATTTGAAAATTTCCTTTCGAAGTTCCTATAAGATGTAATCTGGGTTTTAACAAGTAAACTTTTCAGTTAACCTGATGAATATTTATTAGCGTTCTTACATTTTAAAATATTTTGATTAGCTGTCGAATATATACGTGTTGCGAAATAACATCATTACATTTACTTTGATAAAATTGGTCAGAAGACGAAACGCGCCGGCAAAAGACTAAGTATAGTTTACCTCTTGTCTTTTCATTCATTTTGTTTCTTCTACAATTATACTCAATATGCGAATATTTACATATCCCTATTGAAGACTCTTGCTCAGGCATATATGCGTTTGGTCAACACCAACAGAGCCCACCTGTGATTTATACTGCATCTATACTGAACAGACCTTAGTTACAGATTCTGTGAAGAGCGTGTTATCAAAGTCAGTACATTCAAACCCTCGGTCACGATGACTTGTGCTATTACAGCTATCGACATCTACCCAATTTCACTCACAAGGTTTGTAACAACCGGTACTTTTGCCGCACGCTAGGATCGCTCCTTCCAAATTGACCATGGTGAGATTCGAACCCGGGCCTCATGGCCAGGAAGCGAACGTTATAACCACTCGGCCCCGTGCGCAAATAAATAATAGCATACTATATATACGCAAAAATTATGCAGTTTATTGTATTTAAAAGTGAACAGTAATTTTTGTCAATAAAGTGCTCATTAGACGAAAATTGACTCACATCAAAGTTTCGCTCTAAGTCGACTTTCGATAAATTTCGATAACATTCAACATTTTTGATACAATAATATTTATACATATAAACTTTGTTCATATCAATCTTTCTCAATCTGCTAATATATCTTTCACTCTCTATCTTTATCTATCTCACTATCTATCTACATCCTTCTCTTCTTTCTCTTCTCTCTCTCTCTCTCTCTCTCTCTCTGTATATATATATATATATATATATATATATATATATATATATATATATATTGTTATCCAAAGACAGATTATTTCGCAGTATCACTGCTCATTAGTGTGACTAGACGTAGATAGGGGTCGAAACCCGGCTGAATTGGCGTCAGTCGAAGAATCTACCCCTAAGCCGTTGGGATGAAAGTGTATTGAAGCGTATTCATTTTTTAGATAAACACGCCAGAGAGAACTCGTTTTTCAAATTTTTGTCTTGGTTGAAAGGAAGTCGTTATTTTCCAAACCTAACAAATGAGTAGAAACATACGACATAAGTAAAAGACGAAAAGATAACCTATTTTGGAAAGCTTCCTTTTTTTTTCTATTTTCTAATATTTAACACAAATAGTTTGTGGAGTGTGTCTCTTCAAAAAACAAAAAATCGCTTTTGACCTTGTTTGCTGTTCTTAAAACAGATGGCATAATATTTTCGAAAAACTGTCTTTGCCGATAAAATATAATGTTCTGGAAATGTTTTACTTTCTCTCTCCAGTGTCTGATCATATTTTAGAGTCTACCTTGTGAAATGTCTGATTCTGACAGGCAAATTTAAACCACTTTATTTTAAACTAACTTTTAAATGAAGTATTACCGTGATATTGCTATGACTTACTTTTATTTTAATCTTCTCTTACGAGACGTTCGGCTTTTTTACGATTGTTACGTAAACAGTTTTCATCAAGAAAAAGTAATGTAAAATAAATGAAAAAAAAGTGGACTGAAAAAATTAATAATGACTATGCCTCATCTAATAAATTCAGAAAACTTGAGATTTTATATATATATATATATATATATATATATATATATATATATATATATATATTATTTTTATAATATATTATAATAAAAACATTTACATCGCAACAAAATGTTTTTTATCACAAGTCATCGACCATCGCCTGCAAAGTAGAATCGTAGTATTGAAACAGCTTTTTGTAGCGATGTAAAACGTCTTTATTATATATATATATATATATATATATATATATATATATATATATATATCTTATTATTATATTCTATTAATACTATAAATACTATATTTTGCTCTAATTTCTATTGAGCCCTTTTTTTAAAAAGAAAAGTAATCCATCTGTTCTTTCTCACACACATATATATATATATATATATGTGTGTGTGTGTGTGTGTGTGTGTGTACTGGTTCCATGTAACTTGGGAAGTATGTGTGTGTACGTATGTGTGGGGAGTATGTGTGTATGTGTACAAATGTGTCTACTAATTCCTCGTAGTGAGACAGTGTGTATGTATGGAGAGGGAATATACACATATATACACGCATGCTGAGAGAAACACACGGAAATGGAGATAGATCTAAGAACACACAAGGGGTCATTAAAACATTAAAAGATAAGATACCGATAAGTAATTAATCATTTCTCTCGGACCAATCTTAATTGTTGTATATACCCTTTGCGCAGAACGCTTTACTGCCAAATCAAGAAAGACATTCGGATTACTAACACACACAAAAAAAGAGAATGTCTCATATCGAGAATATTTAACATCGAAAAACTTAAAGGAGAAAAAAATGAATTATTTTTAATGTCCACCCTTGTACCTGACGACGGTCGCGAGACCAGAAACACGTGTAGTAAAATTATGGAAAATAAAGCATAATATTTTTTTTTAAATCCACATGACAACGAAAAACGTTTGCGGTATCTATCTTCCTTTTAATATACACACTTTTCTCTCGTTGGAACTACTATAACCTCTTCCTTTTAAATATACATATATATATATATATATATATATATATATATATATATATATATATATATATATTAGTAGTAGTAGTATTAGTAGTAGTAGTAGTAGTAGTACGATCCGCTTAGGTGAAAACTTGGTAGGTTTGTATGGCTCTCTAGGTTTATATATATATATATATATATATATATATATATATATATATATATATATATATCATCATCATCATCATCCACAAACAAACTGTTTCGAATTTCCTCTGTGTAGCTTCAAGCCGGAACCTAAACCCGACTGATATGATGTCAGTCGGAGATTCTAACCCCTAGGCTATCAACACTCGACAGAAAGAAAAAGGTAAAACACACACACCCACAATATAACAATATATGTGTGTGTGTGTGTGTGTATAGAGCCATTATGGATAGGAATCCGCTAAGATGGTAGAATAAAGAACGAATAGAAAATAGACATAGCTTTAAGTTCACCAATGCCAGCCTCATTATCAAAGAACATAGCACTTTAAAGAGAAAATATCATGAAGACATTTATAGCAATACTACCAAATATCAACACACGTTTAAAAAATACGTTAATTCACAATTTTTCTACAGATCCATTATTTATGAATCTAACTTATGTCTTTCTAAAACATAAAAATCAATGAAAGTCTATACAAAATACGCACGAGATATGCTTTAATGAAAAATCAAACCCAAACATTTTTTTTTCAAAACACCCTGCTGTCTCTCACTAACTTTTACACATTTTTCGTCCAGAATTTTCACACATATATTTTAATATTATCTGTTACTTCATTACACGTGACATGCAAATAACCAATTAGAAATAACCAAACACAATATACCTTAATCTGCATCTTTTTTTATCTTTTTATCAGTGTTATCATTTCTATCTTGATCTCTGACGAAGCTTTAATAATGTGAAACCTGTTTCCTACTTGTTCTTTATCCTCTCATATGTAAAAGCTGCCTACTCGTTTCCGAGTATACTCACCTGCTACTTTGCTAATTCCAGCTGCAAGCGCCTGTTCTGCAATATTTATATTAGAGCCTACCCGCGATTTAAGCAACTGCTGAGCGGCCCTTGCTACAGTTTAGAGATGAAAGTGCATTATCTGGTGTAATGACCGGTTGAACAAGACCAGATCAGTCAAACTGATGACTCATGATTT